TAGTCTTCAATTGTGTGCAAAGTTATTTACAATCAAATTTATCGAAGCTATTTTTAATTAATGCATTGTTTGGTAGCACCTTTTCATCTCTATGTTGAGGTTGGTTGGCTCGCCAAGCTGGTTTGTTGTTCCGCAGACATTTTGTTACCAAGCACAGTAATGAAATGTCTGCAGAACAACAAACCAGCTAAGCGAGCCAACCAACATCAACACCCACAACCCGAGCTACAAATCTACTCCAAAACCTTTGTGATCTCTGTGTATTAGAAATAGAGTTTTCAACTACAGTACAACCCCAGCAGTTAGAAAAACGGTCCCTGTTGGAGGATATCCTGGATCGTTGCAGATTACATCAATAGTTGATACGCCTTCAACTGATTGCAAAACAGTTGAAGCCCGTTGCAAGCTTTGTTGGGGCAGCTGACCAAAGTTTCTGACAAATAAATAATGTCATCACCACCACCTTGTTTAGGAATGTTAGGCATAATTATTCCACTGGGTGGATTCACCACCAGGATTCCAGAGAATGCCTGTGTCTATTAGCTTGGTGCTACAATGATTTGAAGCATGTTTCATCATCAGAAGTGTTATTCCCACCAACCATAGTGACTTTAGTGCTGTCAGGGACAGAAGATGCATTAGGAAAGGGAAAATGTATGTAAAGGACACATACACACTGAGAAGCTGAGGAAGAATTGAGTGAAGACCTTCATAAGATACCTCCTTGATGTTTGATGACAGATAGCAGTGTTCATTATTTGGTCTTTGCCTACTATTAGAGGCTTTTGTCTGCCTTTTGCAAGTCACCTAGTAACGAATTCTATGTCAATATTAGCACACAGTAGGGAGTTTATGTTGGTTGGTCTATAGTTAAACAACTAGCTCCCTGACCAGATCCATTCATGAGAAACTATGAGTGTAGTGGTACCACTCTACTAACCACAACACAGATATACATTATGTAGCGCTGGATGAACTCAGCAGGCCAAGCAGCATCAGAGGAGCAGGAAAGCTGATGTTTCGGGTCTAGACCCTTCTTCAGAAAAAGAGTCTTGACCCGAAACGTCAGCTCTCCTGCTCCTCTGATGCTGTTTGGCCTGCTGTGTTCATCCAGCTCTACACTTTGTTATCTCAGATTCTCCAGCATCTGCAGTTCCTACTATCTCTGTAACAGGTATACATTGTTTCTCATTCAATGGTAGCCTGGCTATAAAGGTTTCTTCAGCTCTATACCCACCAACTTCTAGTTTTAATTGAGAACAGTCAGGCAGTTGATTCGATCTAAGGAGGTCAGTCAGTTGATAAATTATTTTAAGAAGACTGCATGCCTTCATTTCAACAAACTATTTTTTTTAATCTTTTGACTACTTTGGCCCAGTTTTCCAGTCTCAAAAACTCTGACAATTAAAAAGGAGAGATATGCTAAATGGACAAGGTTAGTGCTTTAATAGCACTGCTTATGAAAGAAGTACAGATTCTGAGGATTGTGTCTTTATTCCCCAATAAGCTACTCTGTTAATTCGTCACAATCTGTCCAATTTACCACATCTACGATTTCCAACATCTATTTCCCCATGCAGTCTGCCTGCTCACTGCTACCCCTACAACCAAAACTCCAGCAAAGTTATCTCTTTCTCACCCTGACCACCATCTTCATGATCAACAGCTGCTCCGTGCTCTCCCGGACCACCTTCTACATACTGTCTTCCCCAGACTAGCACCTTCAGCCATCCAAAACTTGTAGGTCATAGTTGTTGGACATCAGTCATCTCAGCTCCAGAACATCTTTGCAGGAGTTCCTCAGGGTAGTGTACTTTGCCCAACCATCTTCAGCTGCTTCATCAATGATCTTCCCTCCAGTATAAGGCCAGATTTGGGGATGTTTGCTGATGATTGAATGATATTAAGCATTATTCATGACTCGTCAGATACTGAAGCAGTCCACGTTCGAATGGAACAAGATCTGGACAATATCCATGCTTAAGCTGACAAGTAGCAAGTAATATTTGTACCACATATGCCAGGCAAAGACCATCTCCAATTAGACAAAATCTAACCACCACCCTTGACATTCAATGGTGCTACCATCATTGAATCCCATATTATCAACATTCTGGAGGTGACTATTGACCAGAAACTCAGCTGGACTCACCACCTAAAGACAATGGCTACAAGAGCAGGGCAGAGGCTAGGAATACTGTGGCGAGTAACACACCTCCTGCCTCCCAAAAGTCTGTCCATCATCTACAAGACACAAGTCAGGCATGTGATGGAATACACCCCACTTGCCTGGATGGTTGCATCTCCAATAAAACTCAAGCCCCTTGGCACAATCCAAGAAACAGCAGCCTATTTGATTGGCACCACATCCACAAGCATACACTCACTCCACCACCAATGCAGTAGCAATGTTTACTATCTACAAGATGCACTGCAGAAATTCACCAAAGAGCCTTTGATTGCATCTTGCAAACTCACAGCAACTTCCATCTAGAAGGACAAGGACAGCAGATACATGTGAATACCTCCATCTGCTGATGCCCTTCCAAGTTACTGACCATCCTGATTTGGAAATATATTGCTATTCCTTCAGGGTCGTTGGTCAAAATTCTGAAAGTCCCTCCTTAAGGACATGGTGGGTCAACTTACAGCACATGGACTGCATGATTCAATTTGGCAGCTCACCACCATCTTCTCAAGGGCAACTAGGGACAGACAATAAGTGCTGGCCAGACAGTGATGCCCACATCCCTTGAGTAAATATTAAAAAATCTAGAAATCTATCAATGCCTTTCTTGAACTTACTAATTATGGAGTTTTTAACCACCAAATTCCACCCTCTGAATGAAAAAGGTCCTCCTCATCGCAGTCCCAAATGGTTTGATTTTTACTTTGAGACTTTATCCTTTAGTTTTCAACTCCTCTGCCAAGGGAAGCTTCTTTGCATCTACTCTGTCTATTCCTTTAAGAATTTTGTAAATTTCTTTGAAATCAGCTCTCATTCTTCTGAACTCCAAAGAATACTGGCCTCAATCTCTCTCCATAGGACAGTCCCTCCATTCCAGGAATCAGTCTGGTGAATAATCACTCTACTCTTTCCAAGAAAAGTGTATCCTTTTGTAGACAAGGAACCAGACTTGTGTACAAGTGTTATATACAAATGAAGCAAGATTTCTCTGCTCCTGTAATCAAATCCTCTTATGATAAAGGCTAACATATCACTTGCGTTCTGAATTTTTTGCTGCACTGCAAATTAGTAACTAATACTTTCTGTTCAATATTTTAAGGTTAAAATAGCAAGCACAAAAATTTAATTACATCTTGCTGTATTCATAAGTGGCAACACAGAGCACCAATGTGACTCAATTGTAAAGAAGTAAATGGAGGAAGAGCAGTCAATAGCTTCAACACGTGTTTTATGTTCTTTAATGGGACATAGGTATCTGTTAGCATTTGTTACCCATTGCTAAATGTCGTTGAAGCATATAATTTGTTAGGCCATTTTGGAGGACAGATAAGAATCAACCACACTGTTGTGTGCCTGGAGTCACATGTAGGCTAGTCTGGATATGAATATTCAGTTTTCTCACATAATGGACATTTGTAAACCTCATGGGTTTTTACACAACCAATGATAGTTGTCATGGTCACCATTATTGGGACAATTGCAGATTTGTTATTGACTTAATTTATGTTCAACCAATTGCTGTGGGGAATTGAACTGCAAGCCCGTGGGGGATTAGTTTGGTGCCTTTAAATTACTAGCCCAATGACATTACTGGTACACTACCTTCTCCCAATATATGTTAAGTAATTACATGTTGGCAATGCAGTGATATTGATGCGACTGCACTTTGACATAAATTATATTCATCCATGGCAAAGGTTGCCAAATACGTTTTCAATGTGTACATTGCTTCTAAAAAAAAGTTTATCCTACTAAAAATAAATTAAAAGAAATGCTAAATTAATGTGCAAAGCTGGCTAGAAATGGCTGCTCCCAGCGGACACTACGTGCACTATTCTACGCTGAGTTAGCTCATCAAAAGTCAGGAAGCAGTGCGATCTCTGCACTTGCTTATCTTGTTCCTAGAATGTGGAGTGGAAATAATCAGATGGACATCCATCTCTTTATCATGCATTATCCAGTCATGTTTGTTTGGAGATACTGAGAGGATTTTAAACTTTTCACTTCCACCTTTATGAAAATTGAAGGATTTGTTGGGATCCTGAATTCATCAGTTACTAAAGGAGTTGAATGAGATTGAAAGAACAGTCAAAGTTAGAGTACAGGGCACTGACTAGAGACTGTCCAGGACACTGACCGGAGACTGTCCAGGACACTGACCAGTGATTCTTTAGCAGACAGTCTATCAGACTGACTGGAGACTGTCTACAAGACTAAATAGAAACATTCTTGAAGAACAACACACAGATGTCGATGTGTTACTAACCTATTAGCCTCTCAATTCAGATAAACTGGTCAATTCTCATTTCTGAGTTGCAGTACTAATTGGGATTATAACAACCTCCAGCTATAAAATATTAATGTTGCACTATTAAAAGACAAATTGATTCAGAAGTCTGTGATCGCCGTTGTTCTTATTACTCATTACCCTATCATATAAAATCACAATACCTATGGATATGAGAGAGGAAGGTGTTTAGGTTTGATGTAACTGTTCTGACAGACGTGAAAAATGACTTACACGTATGAAGTAAAATTGGGTGTAACGGGAGGAAATGGAAATTAATACTTTACCCAGCTGAGCTAACTTGATGCAACCGACAACAATTATTAGCTGTCCATCCTTAACTTGTTGTGTTATGACTTGTATGTTTTGTTTAAATGATTTTATGGCGCGCAACAAATAACCAAACTCATTCCATGCAGTTTTAGCACAGTGATTCATGCTGAAATACGATGAACAACAAAACAAATTAATGTACTGCGCTAATGCCCGGTGTAGATGGGACCAATCTCCGCAAGCTTTATTTACCTTGTACTTAAGTCCGCCCTTGAAATAACTAACAAAAGTATTGGACTCGTAATCTTGCAGCTCTCGGTATTGAACGGGTTTCCCTCCCAGATAGTCATCCATTTGCACCGTAAAAATCGCAGCGGCGCCACTTTCATCCTGAGAGCACTCTTTGCCTAAGGGGAAATAAAGCACATTAAAATGATTGCCGTGGAATTTCGTAACAAAACCTGAGTTTCCCCACACATTGTAACTCAGCCTCACCCAACCAGTAGTGTAGATTGTAAATGAAATTGTTTCCCCTCATTCTGGTTTGCATCACCAGGTATGCGTCCCCGACATAGAAACTGCCGTGCAAACTTTGTGGGACTGGCGCTAGCTCCAAATGCTCCACTCTCCAGACCTGGATCCCTTCCTTCTTCCCAGCATTTTCAAACTCTTTGTGGTACAGCACCATTCTCTTCTCTCTCCGGGGGCTGCTGGGCGAGGAGCCGGAAACGTTCGAAATCTTTCTCAAACTATAAACAAAAAAAAACAAAACTTCGCTGCAACGCTCAGCGACTCCGCAAGACTGACTTTTAAAAGAACCGAGGGGGCGTGTGAGAGCAAAAGTGATGTCAGAGCTTGAGGAATACGGAACTGGACTGTTGAGAAATAAGTCTGTCAACGATTATTAAGGAATCCCCAGTGGAAACCGATTGGTACCTGACATGCAGTCTGAGTCACCGATATTGAAGTCAAGTTTGACAAACTCTTCTGAAACTACAATTTTTTCCCCCCGAATCCTGTGGCATTTTTTTCCGGATCCGAGAAGAATATGCAGTCAGGGTGCTGAGGGGAACGGGTTCGTGTGGAAAATAAACAAGGACACAGATGAACTGGGCGGAATGACTTGTTTGTGTGCAGTATGTTCTTTATAAACTCTATTTTAGGACACTGTTGCACCAATACCTTTCCACTGGGTATTCAGCTGAAAAGAACTACATAACTCCAGAGTCAGCTCCCTTGTAACTCCAGGCTGGCAGCTGTGGCAGGTCCCCTGAGGGGGTCTGCCTCAGTCCCTAGGGATAGACAACTGGTGGCCCCAGGGTAACATCAAGTCAGATTAACAATGTTGTTCAAGGTGCTTCATAACTAACTTAATGTTTCGACAACACATACAAATGCCATTTGCCCTCTCAAAACACGAAACAAACTGGATCCGAGCTTTGTACCGGGCATGAAAGACGATATAACGGCAATATTCCACTGGGTCTCTGAGTGAGATAGAGCAGAGTGGATAGCTGCTTCAGATATAGTCCTACAGAATATAAGCAGAGGATCTATAGCAAAACACCCTGGCAATTTCCGAACTCAGATCTGATTAACAAATTATTTAATCATATATGAGTAGCCATAGAATCACATAAAAATGGTTTATTTGTTACTTTTATTGCCTACTTGCATTTATTGGTTCTATTCTTTTAAACGGGTAGAGAAAAAGGCTGCTTGACTCAGTTTGGAGACAGATAATTTGATGAAACCTTTGGAGATATTTCCAAGCATGATTGGCAACATTAGTTTTGCACTCCCCTCCCCCCACCCAGGCCCAGGCTTGAATGGGTGTGACCACATGTTGTTGAAGAATTGTAACAGGCAAAAATCCTGCACAGAAAACACGACCTGGAACGCTACAGAAAGGGAACCTTCAGCTAGGATGTATCCATAATTTTAATTATTTCTCTGAGAGGTAGATACTGAAAGGCAAGTCTTCATCTTTTTTTTATCTCTCTCTCACGTGAACAGTTTTCAGTTTAGTTTTTAATTGTGTCTGCCTTGCTGGAATAGTGCTGATGGGTGCTTTACAAATAATTTTTCTTCCATTCATTTAGGGGATGTGGCTTTTGCTGGCTGGATGACCATTTAATGCCCATTCCTAATTGCCCTGGAGAAGATGGTGGTGAGCAACCTTCTTGAATTGATATTTCACAATGTCATTAGTTAGGGAGTACCAGGAATTTGACTTAGCAACGCTAAAGGAAGGGCAATATAATCTAAGACAGGATGGCGAGTGGTTTGGAATGGAACTTGTAGTTGATGGTGTTCTTATGTAAGTTGCATTGCCTTTCTAGACATGGTTGCAGTCCTAGTTTTGGAACATACTGTCTAAAGAGCAGTACATCTTGAAAATGATACACACTTCTCCTACTGAGTGTTGCTGGTAGAGGGAGTGAATGTTTATGGATGTGGTGCAAATTGGAATAGGATTAGGCTATTCAGCCCTCAAATGTGCTCTGCCATTCGGTGAAATCATGGCTGATCAGTAGCCTAACTCTATATGCTCCCTTTGCCCACATCCCTTAATACCTTTACAAAATAGATTTAAAATTTACAACTGATCTTGCATCAATTTGCATTTGTGGAAGAGAATTCAAAACGTCTATCACACTTTATATGTAGAAGTGCTTCCTAACATTTCTTCTGAGTGGTCTGGCCCTAATTTTTAGACTATTCCCTCTACTTATAGAATCTCTAATCAGTGGAAATTGTTTATCTACTCTGACTTGTCCTGGTAACATCTTAAGACTTTGATCAGATCATCCCCTAACCTTCTAAATTCTAGAGAAAACAAGCTTAATTTGTATAACAAGGTGTAGAGCTGGATGAACACAGCAGGCCAAGCAGCATCAGAGGAGCAGGAAAGCTGACGTTTCGGGTCAAGACCCTTC